AGCTGCCCGCTCCGCGAATTGCGGCTCAAGGCAGAATGCCTTGGCTATGCGCGTGCTGGGCTTGCGCCTGCAAAAGTAGGTCCGGCTGGCTCCTGTGGCACAGCCAAACCTCTGCAACTTCGCAGATATGATGACTTTCTGATCCATGCCAGGTGCAGAAAATGGCAGTCCTATACCTTTTTTGGTAAAAATCATGTGTTGCACCTGCGAATCATGGGAATCACACTTCTTGCAACTGGTATGGAACAGATAGATCCGCTGTTATGCCATTAGCAGCTGGAGGCCACGGCAAGGAAACGCCAACAAAGTTGTTTACACAGCTTAACTTCTCAAAACCTGTTGTTGACCTACCCAAGAGAATCCAAGCTTTTCATACACCTCCTATGACAGCCTTTAGCACAATTGTGCCGAAAACTGACATTCTTCGCACGGCAGCAGGGTTTGAAAAGGGTTGCCTCCTGATGCAGGGGGTCTTTTCAGCTTGGCAAATGCTAAGATGACATCATGTTCGCGTATGATCCTTGCATCAAGAAGCAGACTGTCTGTGAAACACATCTCTACAGCCTGCTTGCAAGGCATGAATGCATGTTGCAAATTGCTCAGGCGTGAAAGCGCTATACTGCGCTATGCCCGCCAAGCGGACTGTATAGCCATATCTTTACCACACTGCTCGTCAGGTTTGGAGGCCGTATTTGCGATCCATATCTCTCCTAACTAGATTTCTTCACAAAAACAAACTACTTCTCGACACGCAGATTGACGGCTATGAGGGTAGATGGCTCGCGACACGCGCAGTAGGCGACGATCCCATCACCGGAAATCCAACCCAAAGGTCCGGGAGCCAATACTGCTTACCTAGTGCCTGGGATTGTCGAACTGCTGACATACCTCCATCTGCAGCTTACCACATCTTTTGGCGCACATTGAATAAAACCTGCTTGAGTGCCGTGCACAAACGCAATCTGCCCTGGTCTCAGCACAACGCCTCTCAGCTGGCATCAGCCTTCCTGGTGCTTGACAAGCTCATCTGAATGGCTCAGCACAACCTCCCACTCTGAAAATGTGCATCAACCCTCGGCACATGCCTTGTGCCACTTGAAAAGCAGCGCAACTAAGGACTTGGTCAAAACGAAGCACCAATTTTGATCACTGTAGCTGCACCACACTGACTAGCACTGCTCTAGCTTTTGACAACACCACAAATGAATCATCTGACCCTGTGCTTCCTGCACTCTGCAGTTTCCAGCTGGATGTCACGCTGGTGCCAGGGCCTGGCCGAATCAATAGCAAGAGCTCACCTCATGACAAATATCACAACACCTCAATACTTTCTTTCAATTCCCTAACAAACGCCAACCCGATTTTCAAACAGACCCAAGTCTTCGACACTAAAATCACAACATGATGTCAAAACAGGCAGCGCCGACACCACAGTCTCAAAGGCGTAGCCATGCCACTGCCCGGAGGCCGTCGCGGACCGCTGCCTCTTCCCCATCTCGCCTGAAAATGCGACCCAGATCAGCAAGGCGTGTCACAAGCGTCGGTCAAAACTTTTTTCGATCACCAAACGGGATTTTCAGTTCACCAAACGGGCGTTTCAGATCACCAAAAGGGAAAGTCCGATCACCGGAAGGCATTTTCCCATCACCAAAGACCTTTCTCAAGCCACCAAAAATCTGGATTTGTCAGGTCACCAAATCAGGGTTTTTGAGGTCACCAGAGAGGATTTTCAGGTCACCAAATCGGGCTGTCTGAGCCAAAGAGGCAGCCGAAACTCACCAAAGCCTCCCCTCCTGCGGGTCACATAGGCCACTGGACTGATCAACGGATCGATCAAAATGCAACACATTCAATACACAAAATGCCGTTGCCCCACCCTAACTTACCCCCCTGCCCTACCTGGCACATCCCTGCCTTGCCTTCCCCAAAACGCTGACCTCCCCTGCGAGCTCACCATCCTCGTACCCAACCCACCCACCACCCTACCCCAACCTAGCCTACCCCAACCACCGCCCTACCCTTACCTAACCTAACCTAACCTGACCTAAGCACACCAACCACCCACCACCCTACCGTACCTAACCCACTGTAACCATCCACCTAAAACCACGCTCCTCCCATAACCACCCACCACCACCCCTTCCGAACCTAGCACCACCTTAACCCACCCCACCCTACCCTACCCACTACCACCACCCTGACCACGCACCCAAAACTCACCAAACTGTTGGCTTTTGGTGATTGCAGTCTGGTGATCGGAAAAGAGGGCAAACGCCTTACAGGTATCCATGACGGCCATAATCTTACATAGATTTTGGGGTCCAAGTACGTACGAAAACCTAACCTACCCTCCCCCTTTGATGATCCCCCTCTCCATCCAATGTCAGAATCCAGAACCTCGTGATATTGGTTGGCTTCGGTGACAGCCAAATGCAGGAGCAATGGGACTCGTTGATTCTGGGGCCTTACTGAAGCAAGACCGGGATTTGGTAATCCTGGGGCCTTTCTTGTTGAACCGTTTCGGCTGTTTTGGTGAACTGAATTACCTTTCGGTGATCTGAAATCTTTTGCTGATTGAGTCGGACTGGTTCTCACAAGCGTCCTTCATCTAATACATCGGCATTCGCCTCACGGGACCCAGCTCTCACCAACAATTTCGAACAATCCCAAACAATCTGGCGAAGTACAGCCGCCTTGAACCGCTCAGCATCCCTTGGCAATAGACTAAGCAGGCAGGAGGCCTGCACTCCGTCGCTTCTGCCTTGGAGAAGGGCTCCTGCCATAGCCACAGATTCAAGCCTCAATGCCTGAAGGACTCTGCTCATCTGTTACAGGAGACCTCAGGAAATTGCTCCCAGCATGACTCCATGCGAAGCCTTACTTCCAACCAAACCCCAAAGCCGCATCGCACTTCTGTCAGGCTAGCTGTGCGCACCCTGGCTGGTGCCGGAATCGGCGGGGCCATCTGCCCCAGTGGCAGACTTTGATTTTGGCCTACAAAGGCAGGTAGGGCAGGTAGGGATCCAGACTCCAGACTTACTTTTGGCTGTCACTCAGCTTGCAAGTGGGCAGATTTACACTTAGACTGGGGAAGAAAGGCAGCAACTCTGGCTCTGGACTCGCCTTCGATCAAGGCCTTCATAGTCTGCAAGGTTGATCCCAGTGCGAGGATGTGCTCGCCCATCGACATTACCTCAAAGAATCTCAAAGAGTACATTGGGACAGCATGATGATTGAGAACACAGCACCATGATTGAAACTACAGAGTACGCCCGCGGGCACTCAAGAACTCATGCTAGTACAAACGAAATGGTCCCTGGCGTGTTGCAGCTGCTTCCGCTTTACATAATGTGGCCTCTCTAGTGTCGAAGCGCGTGTGCTGCGGAGCCTGGCCGCAGATGCAATCAGAACATCTTCCAGGGACATGGTGGGCGAAGCCCGCCTTACCAGACCCGCCGTTCTGGAGCCACTGGGCCGCAGGAGATTCCTAGTGAAGGGTCAGCTAGCAAAAGTCAAACATGATGTTGGCGCTGCCTGATCCTGTGGCTCTGAACCCAAGCCAGGAGGGGCGCGAGCAGAGGTCCTCACAACAGTTCGGAATGTCGTTTGCTTCCAAACCTCATAAAGCAGCACAGTCCTGGAGGCCTTCTTTCCTTTCGCCTTGCAAAGCTTGCAATCAATCAGATCTTGCATTACGGGTCCATGCATCTCTTCAAACGGGGCTACGTGTTTAGATTTGAATGCAATTTGCTTGCTCTTGGCCCGGGCCCTGACTTGGGACAAAAGCCCATGCAAGCAGCAATTAAACGTGTTTTGACTCAAACTTCATCAGAACCAGAAAAAATGCTGGTAGAAAGGATTGGTGCGCCTTGCTGGAATGCTGAGCAACTTCGTGCATGACCTGCAGCATGTTTCTCGTGGTCCCTCAAGCATGACAGTAAACTTCCTCGAGCTCGTGGTGTGGCCGAAAGGCCTCGTTGCCTTTTGCACGAAGAGCAGTGCGAAGCACGCTGATTTCCTTAAGCAAAACAAGCTGCACACAACCGTCGCATAGCCAGCAGCTTCGAGCACAAAGCTTTCGGCAAGCACAGGGTCCTTCGTTGCATTTCGGTGCTTTCGCGCTGCTCTCTTTGGCTGCTTTGGACCCTGGCTCTGCACCTGAGGAATACCCTCTGCATGTTGCAAATTTCAGATCACTGAAGCTGAGAGCAGGGCAGGTTGGTCAGCTGCAGTAGCTTTACTGCCTCGGAAAAGATCTGTCGCCATTGACCAGGCAGCGCGGGTCTTCATAAACAGGACTTCAGTCATCTGGGAGCTCCACCAGCACGAGCTGCGGCAGGCCCCTTTTCGTTTTTCTTGTCAGCTCGCTTTGGAGGAGCCTCCCGCGTTGCACGGTGTATTGATGCCAGAGATGCCCTCTCAACTTGCCTCATGGTCAGAGGAGCCGACATCAGTAGAGAGTATGTCCTCGAAGGAATTGCTGGCCTGTACCAAACCTTGGCATGGGATCCGTCATGGCAGCAGGGTTTAGCGAGCCCGCCAGATTCTTGTGCGTCACCGAGAAACCAGGTTTCAAAGGCACCGGAGTCTGGGAGGCGGTCATCGCGGCAACTGGCAGGCCTCAACACGGGCACAACCGCATGCTACAAGGAGTCAAGCTACCATGAGCTATGCAAAGATTGCAATCTGGTGAGCAGAGGCCCAATCTTGTCGTTCTGAGGCTCGCGCCCAGTGTCAAGAGAAGCAAAGAAGAAAAAGCGCTGTAAAATTCTGCGAGCCGGAAGGCTGAAGAAGGCATACAGTGTTTGGAGATCATGCATCCCACTTGAGATTCCCACTAGAGGAAGTTGGCCGCAAAAACTGGCTCTGACAACTGCACTGGTGAAAGGATGGGAGAAAGGCTGACTACTCTTGTCTGAGACCTCATGGATGGCATTGCCCTTGAAAAAACAGAAGGCAAGCAAATCTGATGCAAAAATGCAAAAGCAGCCAAACGCAGCCTGGCGTGAAAGCCCTGAGAGGCGCTGCAAGGTGTCTATCCTGAAATCGGTCATGGCAGGCTTGCACTTAAAATTGCAATGAGCACGGTTTTCATGGAGCTGTACTCGCTGGTGAGCTTCATCCTCAGCATCTCACATCTGCTTGGAAGCTGTGGACCTCTGAAACTAATTACTCTCGGAAAAAATGATAAAACTAAACATCTGCTCCGAAAAATCTTGTCCTGAAGTTAACACGTCAAGCCCTGGCGCTTGCCATCCGCAGTGCTAATCCCACACTGGTCCATGCTCCACACTTTAGATGGAGGGAAGGACTGAGGCAAGCTGCCATTCCCGCAGATGGCTAACACTGCCTACACCTCAGCAACATGCTGCTATGAGCCGTCAAAAACTCCAAAAGAAAGCCCACTTTGAGGCAACGGCGGCCCGAGCGCCAAAGGTCTCGGATGCTTTTGATGACGCTCTTCACCTTCTTTGCACGGCGTCCACTTTTCTGCTGCGTTGTCAAGCACAGCGATGCTAATCTTTACTTCCACCTCCCCGAAACTCCCAAACTTTGCAAAAATTGGAGTACCTGGCCTCCTTCAGCCGTTGTGTCGGGACATCGCTCAAATCCCCATAGATCTCTCTGCCTGCACTCATGACATGCTGTCAACCTTCCTGAAACCATCAATTTGTTGGGGCCTGATTGCTGGCCTCTCGGTGTAGCAGACCTGAACGGCGCAAAGTCACCGGTCAGTATCCACCCGGCTTTGCAACATCGACTTTCAGCATAGCTACATGTTTCGAAGCTCCTCTTGCCCCAGATCCCTCTCAGCTGACTGCTGCGGAGGTGTTGTCCTTTCTGCAAAGGTCGATAAAGGCGATGACCCCAGGTGCACGTGCGCCTCCGAAGCCTGACCGCCATGAAACGTTGGTCATAGTTCAATGTATATGGAGAATTTGAGGGTTCCAAATATAATGTGCAAAACAACGACTCACAACAATCAACGAAGCACGTGTCGTGGCCGGACAAGTCTCCTGGCCCCAACTCCGGCCTCTGAACTTTGGGCCGCTTGCATGTTTTTCAAGTTTCAAGAAACCTGCTCAGGCTGCCATAGGAGAGCATCTTTCGTCTGGCTTCTCATCTGCATCACCGTTAAACGGTATCTTAACAAAACCAACGCTGATTTTGGCGCCTGTTGGAACTGGGGCTCGAACCTCGGTGCGAATCGGCCGGAACCGTGACATCCCATGGCTTCAACCCTTGCACGTTGACGCTGGTCCGGGCTCAAGCTTACAGGCTCGAACTTGGGCGGGCAGGTTGTGCGGGTGGTGTTGTTTGAGACTTGATGCACAAAGAATTGAAAACGTCTTCGCATGGTCCTTCCAAGCTTTCTACTGCTGACATGCCACAAGCATGTGGGTCCGTTGGCTTACAACATGCGAGTTTTGAGTCACCTGAAACGACATGGCTCGTGCAATTGCATGCTTGTGTTGGGTCACAGGGGCACATGCCACTCATACTTGTTTTCTTGCAAGATTGAAACTTCAAAACAGCCCGCACAAAACATGATGTTTTATTCATTTATTTGCACGCTTGCGTATTTCAACTTGAATATAACTATCTAAATATGCATCAATATGTCATCAAAATATCTATATTTCAAATCATATGGGCAAGTAGCAATGCAACTTTTTCACATGGGGAGTGTACACACTGCTGCCAAATACAACGGCTTAAGTTAGGCTCTCACCACAACCCTACAAGCCCGGGCGAAAAACTCAACCCCGGGTGGGTGGGTGGGTGGGAAAGAATTTTCAGGGCCACTCACCTTGAAAAAAGAAAATGTACAGCAAATCTAATGTGAGACATGCAACTTCTGAGGGCGGAGAAAACGCAAGCGGAAATGTCAAATGAAATTTCAAAAGCAAATCCATGAATAATGTCCCATCCCTTTGCTGTGTGGCTGTTTAGGGAGTGGTGGCGTATTCATTTATTTGCACGCTTGCGTATGTTAACTCAAATATAACCATCCAAATTTGCCAAATTTGCATCAATATTTCATCAGAATATTTAGAACTCAATCCATATGGGCAAGTAGCAACGCAACTTTTTTCACATGGGGAGTGTCCACACTGCCTGCCAAGTACCCCAACTGGATACATGGCAGTGGATGACAGATCCCAAGCAGCTGCATGCATAGGAGATGCTCCAGACCTGATAAATCCAATGTGGATGGCCGATCACATTTTTTCACCTCTAAACCGCAGTGGTCTGGGCTGACCTACTCGTGTGCTTTGTACACGACCATTGGTCGCGGCTGCTCTGTGGCAGCAACTTGCGAATGGGATGTATCACAAGTAGTTAACGTGTGTCCCGCCGCAGCCGTAGCTCACTGACTGCGGGAGGGTGCAACAGCGCACCGGTGGACACTGTGTGTCTGCAGCGCAGGGGCTACAAGTGGCACCCTAGAGGAACCTTGAGCAAAATATCCAAAAAGGGAGGCCGAGCAAGTATGACAGTCCACGAAGGTCGGCCACTTTTTTGACAGTGCCGCACACTGTCTGCGTCGGTGGCTACAAAGTGGCACACCAGGTAACAAAGTCCTAAGCTACCCCCTCACAACGCTGTTGCCCCTCACCTGATTATGCAACCAAGCACGTAGCATTGCTCTTTGATCTCAGGAGTAAATGCGGCAAGCTTTTGGGCTAGCTGGTTATCATCAGACGACCAAAGCCATTGACATCAGGGATGAAAGCTGCCACTCTGTAGTGTCCTGCCTGTCTGGACGGTCCCAGGTGAACTATGGCGGTAGTCATATGGTAGGCTTGCCATCTAACCCTAATGTCCTTCCCGTTGGAAATGGGAAGCTTAATAAGTCTGGACTCAAGGTCAAGAAGAATCATGTCTGTTCGTTGCGGGGTTTCTCTGTACCTCGGAGTTGACTGAGAATGGGCCTGGGGGCGGAGTGCAACATATGTATGGCATGTTGCTCGTGCCAGGAGTTTACTGCGCTCTGAACAATGGAATTGCAGAGGCCATCAGATGGATTCAGCATAAGTACACGCACATTCCCACTATGAATGCATTCTTCCCCTGCCACGAGTAGGCGTGCTCCCTTAGAAAAAGGATCAGCTATCCAAGCAAGGCGAGGCTGCACGAATTGCAGGAATTAAACCACATCATGTTGCTCTTGTGGTCTACTCCATCTACAAGTTGGAAGCGCAAGACGCAAGAAATTAAAAGGTGTCCAGTCCCCACCTCCTTGTCCCCTCAGCCATGCTTCGGGGACGGCGACGTCAACCCTTTGCTGAGCCTGCCGAAAAATGCAAATACAGTGGAGTTAATGTATACTGTTATCTGTTCGCTTTCACTATCGATCAGGCCTCCATGCAGCTGGGGCCTCTCCCAAACAGCCGGTGGGCGCAGTTGCGCCGCTACCAGGGCCCACATGGAGTTGTTGGTTAGCTTGTTCAGCAGTTCCTGCGCTTTGGCTGCGTCCGGGACCTCAGGGAGACCTCCACTACGAAGACCGCTTTGTCGTTGTCCTCTGACTCCTTCGTAGTGGCGTTGAACTTTGTGATGACATCGCCCCTGCACAGCTTCCCTAGCTCTTTCAGGGTCGCCATGACATCTTCTGCTGTTAGGCCTTTTTTGCCCTTGTCTGCCTCCAGCTTTTGGGCGTTTGGATTCCACTTTGGCAGAGAAAGTGCCTCTCCGCGCTCAGCATTTGGCTGTCCTGCGCCGCCTTGATCGCGCTGGCATCTTGTTGAAGAGATTGATCCTGGCTTGGGTCTCTCCGCGAGCAGGAAGCCAAAGATGACCGTCCTGAGGGCCGGCGCGAGGGGCAGCCGACGAAGAGACACCGACCCTCCACAGGAGAGAACCCAGAAGTAATTGGACAGAAACTTGCCAGAAAAAGCTGGGGCCCCTGCCGGCAGCTATCACATTCCAGCAGCTTCTGCTGGACACGTCCCACACCTTCCGCCTGGAGCACCCCCCCTGTTGCATTGCTTGAAATGTCGGTTGTAAGAAACCCCCGTTCTTCACAAGTCAGGCTTTGTTCTTTTGAAGTGGGGCTTTGTGTTTGCCTGCAGAGAAAGCATCCTACACCCTAGACCCTACACCCTACACCCTAAACAGTAG